ATACCGATTTATAACCATAACTTATTGATATACCTCATCCAGATTTTGTACCATAACCAATTCAGCATGTTACCTTATGTGACACTTGAGAAAGAATACGTTTTCCACCTTTTCTACTGTGTTCTGTCTTAGGTAGTATACATATTCTAGGTAATCCGAAAAATATGGAGACTTCCATATTCGGTTGAAGATGTTTCCTAAATATCTTAGAGAATATTTTTTCCACGATTTTCTCTCTTCCTCACGGGAACGATCGATCCCAGAAAGAGTCGGACGATCCCGACGGTCGATCTCGATGATTAAACAAAAACATAAAAAAACACGGAGCAGAAACTGATCGACCTTGTCCAGTTCAGTTGATCTTCACCGATCAATCTATCATAGATCGATCGATCTCTGTTTTAGTTCGATCGATCTCTGTTTTAGATCGATCGATCTCTGTTTTAGATCGATCGATCCCGATCCCAGATAATAGAACCAAACCGAAAATAATCAAATATTTCTCTTTGAATCAGTCTTGATCCTCGGGTGTGTTGAATCATGAGTCACCTTGATACATAATGTGTTCTTCATGTACGAGTATGTGTTGAATTGTCACATTATTATGTCAGAGTGAAGGCGGAATCGCCATGTGAGAGAGCTCGGCGGAGAAGATGATGTAAAACAAAATTAGGGTTATCGATTTCCCCTTTGTACTTTTTTTTTTTTTTATTTATAACTAGTGGTTTTTCCGCGCTACGCGCGGAATGTCGATAATTTGTATAGAATAATTATTAATATTTTTGAATATTTTAGTATTTATATTGCAAATTAGCAGTTGAAACTGAGGTTTGAGAATTTTTTTTTTTTTTTTTGCAGTGGTGGTTTGATATTTTCTTTTTAGGGTTAACAGTTATTTATCTAGAAAAATAACAAAGAAATCGATGAGTACTTATTTTCAATCATCTGGATTACATATTGTTTTGTGAGTGATAGTTATTATATGATTACTGCAGGTATTATATTTATTTATTTTGAAGCAGAGTAGTATGAAATACAAAAATCTTAGCATTTGGTTGAAAGCTCCTTGATTAAATATAAAAACTTGGGGGGAGGGGTTATATGAAATAAAAAAATCTTAACATTTCCTTATAATAGTAGCAAAATTGCATCTATTCTTTATATTATTGGGTGATCTGTTATTGTCAACACTGTTGTTATGAGAAGGGTTGTTATGAGAAGGGTTGGTATTATCGACACTGTTGTTATGATGTATTGATTTATTTCTAACATTGATCTCTCATGGTTTAGATTCATTTACATTCAAGTTTATCATATATCGAACACTCCTCTATTAACATGACCATAGGTAAATGATAGAGATACAAACACCCCACTGCTAATTGTAGATGCAGGACTTATATGTAAGAGTTTGTTTATGTATGAAAATCCTTTATATGCCAGACTTGGTTTATCAATAAATAAATAAATAAATAAATACTTTATATGCTTTTAACATAGTAAGCTTTAGCATTACAGACATAAAAACATTTCATCAGTAGATGTTGTATCTGTTTAGTTTATATGATTTTAATTGTGAGTAATGTCATTTTGTTAAGTTATAATTTAGCTGAAATATTAGTCATGGTAATAATTTATAATAATTCTGAAAGGATAAAGATTTAATTACTAATATTTAATTTTTATTTAATTTTACACTCCTAATTAGACAATTATAATAGTGCAGAACTATTTTTTGCATAATACTGTTTATAAATAAATTGATTGCAGACTCATATATGCTCGTTTGTATTATATCTTTATCTCTATCTCTAATATAATGTATAATAATGTTCACTACTTTAAAAAACAGGGACACATAATTGTTAAAATCAATATTCAAATTTCTCCAATAAGTATCCATACAGTTTAGTTGAACTGGGAAGAGACACAGCCAAGCACCAATATATATCACATTTTCCCCTGGTTATATAATTCCTAATACTTCCTCGAACTCTAACTCAGACCCGGGATGACTCGGTAGAATGACACACCGCCTTTCATGGCCATCTCTTTTATATTCGCCACCACGTCTACTAAACTCTGTAACTTGCCGACTCACTTGGAAAGAAACATCAATAAATAGGAGCATGAGTTAATGACATGATTACTCAATGTGGTGGTTTCTGCTACAATCGCGAGTAGACTCGTTCCGAGGATTCATTCCGAGTCAAACCGAGTCAGAATGGTCTCTCATTTTATTATCTATTTCGAAGATAGAGGAGAAGAAACAGAGCAACATTAACAACAAAGAAAATGAAAAATAGAGTGAGAGTGAGCATCCTTAGCTGAAAGGTGCAATGACGCAGAGGTAGAGCTTGAGTATCGAGGGAGCTGTAGACAACGTATCCAGAATGGAGAGGAAATCTTTCAGAAAATCCTGCAGTTAGGTTCTCTCCACACATTATATGTGATGAGTTGCAGTAGCAGCTTGAAGATGTTTTCACTGGTCGGTTCTGAGTCATGCAGTCCCCCATGTCTGACAAGTCTGATAGGCCTATGTCTAGCTGGTTTCCCCTGAATCTGTTCCACAATCCAACCACCAAAGGGCAGTGAAAGAATAGATGTCAATGAGATTTGTGCCATCCGTACATAGAACACACCTTGCCGGGACCTTCAAACCCCATGACAAAAACCTATGTGGAGGGAGTCTAGATGACATAGCCATCCAAGTGAAAAAGAACATCTTGGTATTTCTTGCTTGAACCAAACCGTAGTATGCCAAGAAACAACAGGTACAGAGATGTCTAAGCCGTTCTCGTGTCACTTTGGAGGAGAATCTGTTCAAAAAGATTCCAGCAGGACCTCTCCACAAATACACATCATCGCGTAAGTAGCCGATGGAAGCTGTGTAGATGAAAGGACAACCATTAGAGTTTCTGAATTCAGAGAACGTATGGGAGGGAAGTATCAACTTCCAAGACGTGTTGCTCCTGAAACAGTTGCATTTCACTGGATGCGAAGTTGCGCTGATCCTGTGACCCAAGAGATCCCCCATAGGCCCTTACCGATTACAGTAATTGGTAGACTATTACTGATTCTGCACCTTTAAGAATTTGTGTAGTGACTGTTTTAGCTGCAACATTCCTCCAACAATGTCCTCATAAGCTTCCTACATTTATTTGATATATAATATTTGTTATAATTTACGTAACCAAAAAATTAACAAAGACAGCTTCGATAAATCTATTTGATATATAATCTTTGTTATAATTTACGTAACCAAAAAATAAACAGAGCAGCTTCGATAAAATTATTTGATATAATATTTGTTATTAGTTATGCAACCAAAAAATGAATAGAGACAGCTTCGAAGGTTGTTAAATACTGTTTTTATAAACTGAAAGATTATGACCTTGGAGAAGTAGGAGATGAATTCTTTATTTTCTTTTTCCACCATGTCCAGTTCACGTCTCAGGACTTGCATAAACTGTATATACATAATTAAAAAACTACGGTAAACATGGTAACACTAGGTAGTCATGGTTTCCAAAATGTATATATTAGATTCATTGGTTTACTTGATGGATACGATCTTCTGCGATGACATAGTTAAGGCCGGCGTCTTTTAGTATGTACACGAAAATTTATGTTACATGGATTAGAGTACAAACGGTTTTGACACACACAGAAACACATATCATTGACTAAGAAAACATACCTGCACATATGCTTGAACATCGTGGATATGAAGCTTTGTTTGATATACATATATCATTGAACGGTCCTCTCAATTTGATGCACTTTGTAAACTCAGGAGATGAAGCTTTCGGGCTTTTACGGAAGTAGTTTATGAGCACTTTATCAGCTGGTTTAAACAGTTAAAAGAAAGTCTTAAATAAACTCTGCTTAAGAGATTAAACAGTTAAAATTTAAGGGCGGCTCTCTAAGTTAAGCATAAAATGTTAATAAGGAACAGTGGTTGTTTGCCGGTGTTACCTTCTCTTCTCGTCCTAAGAGCATGTCTACACCCATCTTGTCGCCTTTCTTGAAATTGGCTCCCTCCCAGAATCTCATAAGACGGGCAAGCAAAAGGTGCGAGGTTTCCATGGATGGAGATGGTGCTTGACAGAGAAAGTAGTATTCAATATGGTTGAGGTGATCCTGCTTATCACAGATTTATAGATGGAGCTTTGATACGAAACCTTGAAGGACGGTGAAGTTGATTGAATCTGAGAGAGTGGGAGAAGTGATGTAAAAACACATAACGCTGGTTTTAATGTGGCAAATGAATTATGATACCTGCAGCCGTTATGCAAAAATCACGAAGGCGATGCAACTCCTAAAGCAAAGGGGAGAAACCCTATGAAATATGGGCTATGTAAAAAATTTAGCCCAATAGATTAGTTAACTTCTAATGGTCCATCAAACATATGAAATCAACAAAACAAAATCGTTAAAAGAATGTGACAGGTGGCAAAAAATGTCCTATGCAAAAAGATGAGGTGACATCATGAGGAGGGACTAAACCTAACTTTATTATATAAGATTTAAATTTATAATTCCTCTTAATTGATTAATTGAAAGGGTATTATGGTATTAACAGATTTGAAAATCCTATTTTCTCAAAAAAAAATTCTAAAAGTCTTATAGGATAAATCCAAATTAAGAATGTCCCAGTTTTCCAATTTTCCCTTAATTTTACGAGGCCTAAGAGCATTTTTAACACGCGTAGTTACGCCCGTATCTTAATATTATTCGAATAAAAAGAAAAGGAAAATTAGCTTTAATAGAAAACACTGTGTCTTGATTAAGTATTACAAGATACGGTCTTTTCATACACGTGTTGTCCTGCTCCTTCATGTCTTCTTCTTTCTCTCCAAACGAATCTCCCCTCCACACAAGAATCCAAACCGCAACGCTCTTCTCACAAGCCCCACTAACAAAATATTCCGTCATAGCTTCCGCAAGGATCGGTTGTTTACAACGCTAGGAGGATCCTAACGCTTGTGGAGTGGATTATGAACGAGTTCTCAAGGGAATCTCCAGAGTATGGGATGGGGACGGTGTCACCGCTGCGGTTGTACGCCGGGAAATTTTTGGCCGCAGTGAATCTTGGGATTTGGTCGTTTAATCTGTTTGGTATTCTGATTCCGGTTATCTTCCGAGAGCGTTCAAGAGGTATTACAGTTCCAGCAAGGAGGTTTGATTCCGGTTTAGATCAATCTTATCTTTTTTTTTACCTTTCTTTTGTTTCATCAGTCTGGTTCGGTTATGGGAAAACTCGTGATCTAGATGTGAATCATCGGTTACGATTGCAATTGGTTGGTGTTCATGGTTCATGTTTTTTTTTTACTTAGAATCAAGATTCTTCATAGCTTATGGTATGCAACATTTTCATGGTTCATGTTTTTTTTTACTTAGAATCAAGATTCTAATACTTGACCAGTTATATAGGGTATTACAATTGTATTCAGTTCCATTCATGTATGAATGTATTCGAATGAAGAGGAAGATTTCATCTGTTTTCTTGTTCATATGCTGAGGATTGAAATAAAAGTTTTTTTGAAGTCTTGTGACACTTGTGCGTCTTGTGTTCATCTTTTGCTTTGTTTTTTTTTGTTCATATGCTAATAACTTTTTTTAAAGAATCCCTAATTAAGAACCTTTCAATGGAGCAATTAAATGTAGGGATTTCTTACATTGTCTCTTAAATCACTTTTTTCACTTAATACCATTAAAAATATCATAAGAGACCCTAATTTGGGTTTGTGCAATAATCAAGCTCTAAAAGCAACATTAATACAGGTTCTGAAGGGGTTTCTGAACCTGAAGGGTCTACAAAAAGCAAGAGAAACGATCACAAAAGGTTCATGACCAAATTTGGTGGGTTTCTGTAACTTTTCGCGGACCCCATTACCACGTGGCGGTCCGCGATTGGTACTTTTAATTATTATTTTTTTAAATCGGACAAAGAAGAAAAAATAATAAAAAAATATATAAAGAAATCCATCTGGGTTTCTGCGTTAATGATTCTCTAACAAACCTAAAACGAAAAACAACATAAGAAGAAATTAAAAGCCCAAATAAAATACAAAACCCAAATCAATAATACTCCAGCGAATAAGTGAATGATAAGTGTCATTATTCCCCCCAAGGAGAGAAAAAACTCAACTTTGTTGTATAAGATGCTCAGTTACAACATTTACTATTTAACAAACATATGCAGTTCTGTTATATCCAGTAATATAAGGTCACATTGTTATAGCAAGTGACACCCTGTTATATCCTGTACTACAAGACTATAGTCAATGCGACTGTGTGAACCCAGTAAAACTAATACACAAGGTATTACCGAGAAATAATATGTAACTGATAGAGATGGTATCATAATGAATTAGGGTTCCTAAAAAATTATGGAATTTTCCCTATTCTTCATATTATCACCAAACAAAACTCGGCGAACACGGTCGAAGGAAACCGGCCAGATGGGAAATGCTGGGAAGGATTCCGAGAACTCGAACGTGTTTCAATAGCGAAGGGACCAAGAAAGAACAATCTGGATTTTTCTTGTGTTCTTCATCCGAAAAATCTTATTTTGACTCTCAAATTTAAAATTTTTTAACACTTTTAAATCAAATCTATGAAAACGGTCGGGTTATTCTGGTCTAAACTCAAATAACTCATGTGTTAACCATCAAATAATCGAATAGGTTGGTTTCCGAAAATGGTTCAATAATTTGACCCAATATATGGTTTCCTTAGGCAATGCTTTAAGATTTGTTGAATAAAACTGTATGTTTACTGCTTATTTATATTAAAATAAATAAATAAAAACTTCCTTTAACAACAGGAGTATATCAAATAGTATTTTTAGTTTAAGAACAATTTTAGTAGGAATTTATTATCCAAAAACTCTCAAAATACATATATATATATATATATATATATATATATATATATATATATATATATATATATATATATTTAATTATGAACTTGGTGTTTTGCCCCCACGTGCGGACATAATATTTTTATAAATATTTTGAAGTATACACATTATCAGTTGAAATCAAATTAAAATAAAATAATATTCATGCATAAAAAATAATTAATAAAAATTAAAAAATAAACTCTTTATATATACAAATTTCATCATAATATAAATACTTTTTATCACGTAACATAAAATTAAAAACACTAATGCTTTTGATATATATAGTAATAAATTAAATATTAAGGTTTTTTACATATGAGCAAGTTTGTCAATAAAGTAAAAAGGGATTATATTTTATTGCGTAAAATAAATTTGAAAAATATTAATATATGCATTAAAATTATATACAATATAAATAGGGTTTTCGCTTTTAGATTTTTTTTTTTAAAAAAATAAATCCAGTGTAAATTTTTTTTTAAGAATAACACAACATGAACTATATTTATACCATGGTGATTATTGAATTTTTTTTTAATTTATGATTAATTATATATTAACAAATATAATTGCTCATTAAAGTCAATAAAGACTTTATAACATAATATACATTATTTTTAGATAATGATAATTATCAAATCAATAAAATTCTTTTTTGATTAATGACCAATTATAAATTAATTTCCTTTTAGTTTATGGTTAATTTTGATATACTATTTTAAAATAATAATAATAATCATCCAATCAGTGAAATTTGTTTTTAATTAATGTGAATTATATATTAATTCGTTTTAGTTTATAGTTAATTGTATATTAATAAATTAAATTATTCATTAAGAGTAACAATTAATTATTAATTAAAATCATAAAACATGAAAAATAAGTAAAACTATCTAAAATCATAGAGAACATGACAACTAAGCAAATTTACTTCTCAAATAATAGTATAGATAGATATCTTAATTTTACTGGAAACCCAATTCAAAGTATCTTAATGCTAATCCGAAAAATGTTAAGAAATATATTTTGAGTTGGTTTTCCATAAAATTAAAATATTTATAATTAAATATTAATATTTATATATAAATATATGTATTTCGAATTTTTTTGGGGCAGAAACACTTGGTGGTGATGCTCTTGACCTATTCCAGCCGCTATTCTTTGGCTGACTGCCATCAACTTTAACCAACCGGACTTCCAAGGGTTTGAAAAAAAACTTAAAAGCTTGAAAATAATATAACCTGAGGGACCAATGAATTATTGTGAAACGTCAACATTCTTTATCGATTGGTCTGCCCTATGGAAAAGAAGTTATAGAAAGAACTACTTTATATAAATTTTATGAAGTATTTTAAAAAATAGTACAATAAAAAATAATAAACAAATAAATACTGAATAGAATTTTCAAATCATATTTTTTAATAAAAATATTTGGTTTGAATTAGAGTGACAATATTCTTTACTATTTCTATTTTTCAGAGATTAAAAATATTAGCAAAAATAATTTAGAAAATTTAATAGTATACTATACTTCCTATTGTTTTATTTCACTTTGACATGAAAACAAAATAAAGTTGATACTTCAATTGTTATGATGTTTTTATTACGTCTATAGCCTAGACTGTGTAAATATATACTTTTTATTTTATATATGTATTGAATTTAAGGTTATATTATCATCGAAATTCATGGTGTAACATGATTTTTTTACAAAAATCATAATTATCTGAATAAGAACTTAATCTTTTGTTTCTAATTTTATATCATGAAAATAATTTTTTTTTAAAAAAAAATCTTATATCTTCTTATATTTTTACATTACTTTATGATATATTTACTTTTCTTATGTTTTTTTTTGTAGTTTTCCTCAGTATTTTGTTAGTTTTTGGGCTTAAGTTTAAGAATCGAAAAATGTTAAATTTATTTATTTTGGTGATTTTGCTTTGATGAAACATATGATAAATATTTTCGAAGAATCTTTGAAATTTTTATTCTTATGAATTTTGCGTGTATATATATTATATATTGTATATTATTTATTATTTATTATATTATATATATATATTAATTTTTATATATTGTATTTTTGTCTATGTTGTGCATTTCATTGAATATAACTATTTATTTTTATTTAGATTTTAATAATATTAACTTTTATTATATATTTTTTTGGTCGTAGTTTTCATAAATTTTCAATTTCTCTAGTTTAATTTTAGTGATCCAAAAATTTTCATTATATCAACTATTTTAAACTGAAACTAGATCATGACTCGCGCGTCCACGCAGGTTTTATTTTTACTTAAACAAATTATATATCTATTTTATATTGTTTAGTTTTATATAGTTTTAAGTTTGTCCATACTTATTTTATATGATTAAACAACATAAGTGTATTATAGATATATGTGGCGTGAAACATTAAATTGGTTATCCGAATCCAAACCCGCAAATATCTAAAATGAACCGGAACCGAAATTTATAAACATTTGAATAGAGATGAAATTTTTAAGCTAAAAAACTTGAAAATTAAATAGATTTAAACTGAACTTTGATGGATTCCGAATATCAATCCATAGTTTATAATTTCTCCTACAATGAATTTGGACAATGAAAGTGAAGAATTGGTCACTTTCATAGTATTGAATTTATAGTATTGAAATAACATTGGTTAATAGTATTGATAGTATTAATATAAGTATTAATAGATATAGACTAATGAATTCTCTGGAAACAATTGACATAAATGAAGATATACAATATAGTTTTTTTATAATGAAAATATAATGCATATTTATAAATTAATATAGTGGTTGAATGATATAGTGGATAGACACACAGAAACATTTGAACTGGAAATATTATATGAGATATGGAAGAAAATAATTATGGTTGTTAGTGAAAAATTATTTAAGAAACTATTTTATTAAAAGTTGAGTTAAGAATTAAGATATTCTAAATAATAGGAGGTCTAACTTTAAAATATACCTAGAAGAAGTCGTAATGTTTTTGTTTTAATAATATGGATAATAAGTCAAATTATTCTCATAATTATATGATATCATCAATATCATAAGTTATATATTGTGTCTTTGGTTCATCTCGTAAGGATCATACTAATAAGTCAAAATTATTCTCATAATTATCGATATGTGCATGGACTATGAAGTGGAAATATGTTTAGTGATAACGGGCATATCATATTCAGCCCAAATAGTTGTTGTTAATGATAATTAATGGGCTAGTTGTTAAAGCATGTCCGAAATTTAATTATTAGGTTAAGAAGCAATGGCATGAGGTTGTAATTCTTTAGAAAAATTCAGGGTTATTTCATTTTTGTACTCCTGTTTTAATAGTTTAGATATCATAGTAAATATATTTTTCATTATTATAGCTTATAAAAAATATCTATTTATTTTTAAAATTTAA